TTTTTTTTTTTTTTTTTTTTTGCAGCAGAACAATGTAATATTCACTTAGTAAACAAGAAGTAAAATGAGAAAGTTTTATTAGGCTGTTGTAAAACCTTAGATGCTGTCAGAGCTTCACTAAGCACAGTTATCTGTTTCTGTCAAAAAGTAGTGAAACGTAAGTGATTGTTCAAAGTTACAGGCAAAGTATGTGTATTTCTGGTAGCTTCCGATTTTAAATTGAACATTTAAAGCTGCTGATTGTCAACTGGAAGTTTTGCTTACGTATCGACTGTTTCTCCTTATCTAACCGTAGGCAAGATGAAACACCTTTATTTTATGCCGAACTTTCTAGATGAAGCTTGAAGAGGGTTGGATAAACTACACAGAAAAGGCAAACCTCAGTACGAGTGTGACAAGTGCTGTGATCTCAATCTGCTTTTACCTGAATCATTTCCCCCTATGTTGCTTTTTGAACACTTGATTTGACTTCGCTCATAAACTCATTTATGATTTTTACTGCACAAATCTTTTTCTCTTAGTTTCATATGACTGTTTTAATGCTGGAATAAACTGTTTGCGCTTCTCAGACGTTGAGTACGATGTACAAATTTTATTAGGGTAAGTTTACCATTTTAATATGATAAGAAGTCACAAGAGAAGCACTAACTACTGCGCTCTGCCTCTGAATTCTAGGTAAAAATTGACCTACAGTTTTTAATAACGAGTCCTTCGTGAACTATCTGTAGTGAAATATCGACATTAATATGCCAATTTAAATCTGCCAACAAATCGGTATGTAGTCAAAGATTTATGTTTCACCCATCAATCACTTGTTAACATCAGTATTTCACTGCGGAGATATCCACCCAATGATCTGAATAAAGTATATTTGTGCTATATTCAACCCTATATCCTCTTCTTAAGACTGAGCTTCTCGGCGAATATCTTAGTAACTTCAAAAAATCACTATTAAAAGACGAAAAGTTTTAATTCATGAAATAACAGCAATTGAGAAAGTGGTTGTCCTCTGCAACACATATGGTTCACTCAGCAGAACTTGTCGTTGACATACCGCCAGTTTGGTGTTTGGTGGTCCTATATTTTGGTCTTTAAGAGTGTTACTTCGAACTCAATTTAATTGACCTGAAACAAATTGGTCTCAAAAAAAAAAAAAAAACATGTTTAACAACTGAGTAGTTAACGAATGTGATGATAAGACGACAAACGCGTTAGATTTGGCACTGCTGCAAATTTGTAAGTCATAGTAAACTATGAAGAATGTGATTTGAAGAAGACCAAGAGTCTTCGAAATGATATAGGTGATAGCAGATTTAAATAATTGAAAAAGCATAGTTAAGGAAGCATCAAAAGGAAAATTTTAACAAGAATTAGTATTCTGGAAATGTATTTCATATGGTAATCGAAAGTTTATATAGTAGAAAAGCACCAATTTTCATAAACCTTCTACCGGAAACCAACATTGCTGATTACAATACCAAATATATTTCGGTGTATAGAAGTATCTTGCTTTAACTTCTTTAAACTATACTTGATCAAAATACAACAAAGATAAGACTGAGACACAGTTAAGGAGTAAAAACGGGTTACAAGTTACTTAATACACTTTGAAAGAGGTGATGATCTGCTTGAAGTACATCGATCAATAACACTTAAACAGCTTAAACAGCTCTACCAGTTACAGCAGAAGAAAAGACTTTTTTTCTAACATCTCTAAAGATCTTTTTCTTGGTTCCTGAAATATACATCGGAACTGCCGCTGATTGCCATCTAGACTGTACTAAAAAAGATTTAGCGACAAAGTTATGAAGATAGTAATTAACTACAGGTGTTCAGTGTCAAATTTTTACACAGCTGTGAAATCTTGTCGGTATTTTGAGCACTTGATGTCTCCAAAAATCAATTTATAACATTAATTTATGCACTTTGTTCGGGTGTATCTATATACTGCATAACTTCCTGTATATATCTATCACATAAAAGATGAGTTTTCGTAAAGGTTACTATAGTTAGATATTGAGAATTTCAAATGATTAAATTCTGCTTGTATTTTTCTTTAGTAAGAATAAAACTTCAAGCATTGCTTGGTGTAAAGAAAATTGTAGAAAACTGTCTTTTATGAAAGTTACTGACAGTATGCAAGTTATAAAATTTTTTAAATAATTTTCTTGCTTGTTTTATTGAAGAAAACCTATTGTGCTCAAATGAAACTGCAAATTTTCCATTAGATAGAAAAATGTTTTGGAAAGGAAGATAAAGGTTGAAACAAAGATTAAAGCCACTTTTTTGTCTTTTTGTTTAGGAATCAAGAAGCATCGATTCATAGCAAATTAAGTGGTGAAATAACAGGACGAGTAACAGATTCAACAGTAATACTTGATCAAGTAGTGATTTATAGCATTTATAGCATCTCACATTTTTTAGTTCTTCATAATGCGCATAATAAGTAGAAATTCGTAATCATTGATATAGTCTTAATAACTACAGCTTTTCGAGAATTGAGTGTAGTGAACAGATTTTGGTCCTTTGGTGACTGCTTGTATTTTTATTGGCCAATATTAGTTGAGGGAACAACTGAGGCGACGATGTCGCCAGTGGTCCTACCACATATCCACTGAGCGGTCCAAATTATTATCGAATGTTGTTCCTTTTTTTTTTTCTTTTGATGTCATTGGTCCAAAGGAAAAATGGTTTCAATTCGGTCGTTTTGCTTATATTGGGTAAGTAATTGAAAGTTTTTTTCTATAAACTACAACTTATAATTGTATACCGAACAACACTTAATATAGCCTTAAAGTTATTGCTGATTACACTTAAGGTAATTTACGAACTTCAATGTTTTTTTTATTTTGACCATTCCTGTAAATGCGCTAATTTTACTGCCTAATTATTGTCCGTTTCTAATTAGAAGCACCAAAACACAATAAATTCCTGGTTTTTTTTTCTTTACGTGTGCAAGTTATGATTTACCTTGCCGGATGCTTAAGTGCTCAATATTCGATCACCTAAAATTATTGATCATAATTGTCGGTGAATTAACTGATTATAGAAGAGGTAGCAAACTAAATAAAATTGATAAGAAATTTTTTGGCTGTTGTTGCTCAAAGTAAGACGATAATTTTTCAGTTTGTGAGTTATCTTGACTTCTCACCTGATACCTCAAATTTTTTTCTCTAATGCCAGATTATCGATTGTACAGGAAAGAAAAAACTTGATTTTAAAAGAATTAAGTTAGGTGGTACTGTCTAAAAAATAATTTTTGGATGTCCGATACTCACTTATGTATTTCAAAAAAAAAAAAAAAAAAAATTCTGTCTTCTGTTCAAAAATTTAGAGGCCCGCGAAGCAGTTGAATCAGTGCGTCTTCCAGAACTCAAACCGTTCTGATCAAGTAATCCACTTTGAAACTAAACAACAGTTCGGTACAAACAAAAATTGGAAAAAAAGCTCGAGACGAAAGTGGTATCATAGTATCTGTAAGCTATTCATATCTTAATCTTCCTCTATACTTTATTTCTTTTTTCACTTCACGAAACAAGTCTCACAGTGTATGCTTTTCTTTTCTCTTTCCCTAACGTTACTTTAATGTTACTTTAGCACCTTGCTCTGCCAGTAAAAGATTGTTTATTAGGTCCAAAAAAAAAACGATCCATCTAAGTTTTTTGAGATAAGATGTCTACATTTTATGATTTACATCTTTACCACATAACTGTCTTCAAAAATTTTGAATTCTTCTGAGTTCACTCTTTCCACTAATAGATTCTGTTTTACTCTATGGTGGAACAAAAAACTGAGCTGAAAAGATAAGTTCATTTGTTCGTTGATAGTCATGAAAATAAGTTCTCGCCCAACAGATTTTGTCCGGTTAACCTTTTCACAACGACTAAGTGCGTCTGTTACAATCGAGAATAATAAACATGAATGGATAAACTATAACCGACGGCCAACTTATGTTCTTGTATCTGATAGGTAATGGTATGCTCGCATGCAGTATGGCTCAGACACCACTTCTGTCGAATATGGGCAGACTACGGTTCCATCAGTTTACGGTCTTTGTATAATTGTTGTTGATAGCATAATAAGCTTTAGAGGCTAAGCTACTGAGTGAAAGCAGTCGACTTTAACAACGCCCACAAAATAAACTTGTCTATCGCATGCTTAAGCATCTAAATTTTTAGGTCAACGACAAAAACTTCTTGACTTCCTAGTCGAAGACTGGCTTTTTTTGGCTCTTTTGGGAATAATTATGCCATGCCTGTCGATATTAATGGATTTATGTATAGAAGGACTTCAGATCTGTAAGTTACTTCCTAGTCTGTAAGCCTGTATTTATAGTTTACCATAACGTAAATAATTTTATGACCATGTGCGCATTAAAGTAAATTAAAAAATTACTGCTGTATAAACAAAAAATTCTTTTAGTTTGAATCATTTCATATATAAGTCGTTTTTTTAACTACTTTTGGTACTACAGATTCAAATGCTCTAAATTTTTCAGATCATTTAAGAGTAATGGATCTTATTCCGAAAACTGGTGATGACACAATGTACGTTACACTGCGGTTTATTGTATGGTTTGGGTATACGGAGTTCGCTGTTATGACGGCAGCTATTTTTACGCATTATGTTGCGCCGGAAGCTATTGGTAGCCATTTTTTTTTTGCATCTTTCGTCTTCTTACTAGTTTTCTGAACAAAGGTTAAATTAGGTTCTGGAGTTCCGGAGATGAAAACTGTATTGCGTGGTGTAGCATTGAAGGAGTATTTGTCATTCCGAACATTAACTGCAAAGCTTTTCAGCTTAGCACTCGCTATTGGCGGCGGATTGCCAGTTGGGAAGGAGGTTTTTCTTTGCACCTTAAGAGTCTGAAAAAAGTTCTTCTACAAAGATTTGTTGACGAGCGTACTTTTGTGCCCCACTTTTTAGAAATCTTTATCTTAGGGACCATTTGTACATATCGGTTCAATGGTGGCGAGTTTGGTCAGTCGACTGATTCGACACTTTAAGTCGACTTCTGCAAACGATTCAAAAAAAGGTGAAGTTCTAGCAGCTGGTTGTGCCGCTGGTGTTGCCTGTACATTCATTGCTCCGATTGGAGGTAAACTTTTTAGGATGCTTCCGTTGTTTTCTTTTTGTTATCTTTTTTAAAGTTTAATCATAATACTGAAAGATTTATTGTATCGTGGGTAAATTTTGTCTTTTGCTGAAGATGAAATTTTTAAAATCAGTCAGAAGCATCATTAATTAAAGTCTTTCTAAGTTGTCAAACAGTGATTTTTAAAAGAATGCTTTTTTTTGTGGTGGTTTAACAGTGCAAAAACCGTGGTCCTAAAAAATGAAAACTTATCTTGCTCTTCCATATGAATGTTATTGCAGGAGTATCGTATCATTAACGTAGATGGAATTTTAAATAGTATAATGAGTTAATTTTTTTTTCAGTAAAATTTTAAGCTTTATTGGAACTGCTACAATTAAAATAAAGCTAAAATATTTTGCTTACGTTGTTGGTAGCTTTACACGTGTGTTACAAGATCTATGGTAGGAGTGTTAAATCTTTTGCTATGAAAGGAAGTTGAAGCGAATATTTGGTTTTTTTCAATATTGAAGTTTGTTGAAAAAGGAGTGGGAAGAAATATCGCTAAAATTTATAATACTGTTTATGACATAGATTTTTATTAGGTTTTAATGGCTGTCAATATATAAAAGACGAATGATTTTGTGTAACAAAACCGAGCTGTTTTTAACTATTAATTGTTACCCTCGTCTGCACTTCTGCATTCATGTCGCATGGAAAAAGCTAAGACATCGCAAAGGAACTTTTCTAAGATGCAATATTAGAGTCACTTGTAAAACGACAGTTTTTAGGAGTCTTGTTTTCAATTGAAGTAACTGCGGTGTATTTCGCAGTACGAGATTACTGGAGAGGCATTTTTGCAACTTGCTGTGGTTCTGCGGTCTTCTCGCTCCTTCGTATATACACTTGTTATTCAGAAGGTTATTTTGTTTCTGTACCTCATCTTTTGACATACGCAACAAAACGATGCGTTAAAGTGAGTTCAACGACCTAATATTAGTCTGCGTTCACAAAGTACTTTTATTTCAGTTACCTTAAGCGCATTTGTGCCGACGAAATTTGCCAGTCGAACGTACTATCCAGAAGAACTTTTTTTCTTTTCTCTAATTGGGTTGGTTTCAATTGTTCCATTCCTTTTTCCCTTTTGAGATAAATAAAAAGCAGCTGAACTGCTAATACAATAATTTGCCTCTAATGCATAATTTTTTGAAGTCTTTTTTGTGGTCTTACTGCGGCACTGTTTATACTAATCCACCGTCATGTTGTACTCTTTCTGCGTAGGAACAGTATCATGAAATTCGTTTTCCAAAGAAAGTAAGTTCTTTTATATTGATTTTTTTTCGCATTGGTCTCCCAATGTCTTCATTGGACCGGTTAGCAGTTAATTAGTTTCTTAACTTATAGAAAAAATAAATCATTGGTTGCAAAGTAAGCTGCGTCATCA